GCTTTTGTCTAAGAGATAATAATGATAACCACGTAAATAACGAAAGGTTTCGCACATAAAAGCATATTTCATTTGTATTGGTATCTATTTTTGTTGACATCTCTTCTATTTTTATAAAATGACGAAAAACATTTCTATCAAACGCTTCACGAGTACTGAGGTTTAAAAACTGAAATATAGGTAACATTTGCCACGGAATTGTCACTGGGTGGGAGATTTTTGTAATCAAAATCGTACTCAAATGGGTCAAAGAAACATTACAATTAACTGTATGTATTGTAAAGATTTTATATGATACAAAATTACAAAAAATTAAAACTCGAGTCATTGACTTAGTTTTTTTTTCTTTCATTGACTTTGACTTTTTAAATCGACCTTCAGGACCTGAGAGAGGAATTTGACATCTATATATCAAAAGACTGTCATAAACCACAAAATGTCTGGCCTCCATATTTTATTATAACATAGAAGATGTTATCTAGTTCTGCTGCACAAATCAATCAATAAAATATAATAACTAATAACCATCAATCTCTGATCTTTAAAATCTCATTTCCTTGATCAATGATATTGACATTAAAAAATAATCACAAAACATTGATTTTCCGCAGTTCAATAAAATTTTTAATTTTCGTTATGAATCGATTAAACTTATTCAAATCGAATAATTTTAATGACTCAATTCTGTATCGATATTAAAGCCGTTTTGTTAATGAAAATACATATAATTTTCTTTACTAAAAAATCTGATAAACCTAATATATTTTGCACCTGAATTGTCATTAAACTCGATTGGTCGATCGTCGCCTTATGAATAAAATTATCATTGCATCTCTTGGACGTTCTTTTTTTGATAGCTCGTTGTCAGAATTTCATGTTTATTTTACCATAGCCAAGGCACATACACGTTCAGCCAATTATGTCACCTTCGAACACGTACAATATTCAACGCAACAGGACTCTATGGTTTTATTTATGACAGCCAGTATCTGTGGTTTAATTATGTAAATTCATTTTGGAACTTAAAAATATAATTTTAATTTTGTTACCGCTACAATCTATCTACTTCTATTTGTTAGGTATGTAAATAAATTATAATTAAAATATTTAATGTCCACATTTGTAATCTGGATAAAGAAACGTGTTATGAGATTATATTTGGTTATGGAATGCTTGAATTATATTTCTCAACTATAAAATAGAAAACGTTGCGATCGATGAATTTTAACTTTTTTATAAAGACTTTTTATTCTTAAATTTTTGATTGACTTGACTACATAACTAAGTCACAATTTTCATTATTAAAGTCAGTTTGCAAACAAAAGGATAATTAATTTGCAATAGAACAAGACAGAACAAAGCTGAATGTGAATGATTATCGAAATAATTGACATTGAACAGATCTGTTCGTGCCACTGGGGGATAGTGTGAAGGTATAACATCCCGATCGAGTAGTTAGACGGGTCCCTGGAGGTAGCCTGGGATGATGAATCATGCCTCTCACTTGATTAGCCAACAGGAGTTACGTAATTGGTCCGAAGTTAGTTGGTATACTTATAATAACGCAACGCTTAGGACATTAGACATAATGGTAAAAATATGTGTGTGTGTGAAAAAACTAAAGGGATTTTAGTTAAATTATTTACTATTTTAAACAAGGTTTTTTAAATACCTAAGATACCTAGTTAGTTTTACAAGTTTTTAATTAACTTGTGATGTAGGTACGCAGGAACGCTCCCGAAACGCTGACAAAAATAAATCCTTTTTTTAACAATTTTAATTTTCGTACAATTTTTGTTTTTGTCTTCGTGTTATTCATGCGACATCAACCTTGAGCAGGTCATTACAACTATTATTACATAAGGAAACATTACATTCCATATTTTTATGGAAATACTTGATATATACCGCCACCCGTCGGCGTATAGTTATACATATGTATAGTATTTTAACTTATATAAAAGTATATCACTGGAGAATAGTAAAGAAACTGTTCCTATCGCCATCGTTCCTATGTATTCGGGGAAAAACAGACGTGACGATGTTGTTATTTATTACTGAATGTGGAAAAACTACTTTATATTTAAAACCTGCTAAAACGATTATTTTTTATAAAGATTTATCAAAAACCATACACCACGTATTTTACAAAAAAACTACTTGCCTTAGTAATTAATTTAGAGAGAAACTAGTTTTTTTTTTAAATAACTTATGTCACTACATAAATTCTACAATCATACGCGTGGCTAATATATATTAGTGCCATCTTCATAATCTTACCAATTAATTTACTTTTTAGTCTCGGAAATCCATTAAACTGATGTATTTTATATAGGCAGATTGATATTAATTTAAAAATTCTTCTAGGTAATCGAATATTAACCACCTTGGGATTAAAACTTTGGTTAAATTGATTTTTTATCGATTAATATTAATTGGTGGAAATCATTTTTAAAATGGGACTTCGTATAATGTGTTGCCAATTTTTAAAGCGATATTTTACTTGTCTAACCTTTGACATTGATGCATTATATTTTTATTAATTAATGTTATAATTTTATAGCAGTAATTCGTCATCGTAAAAAATGCATCTGCTGATAACTTGATAGCATTTGACGAAATGTTAAGCCGTATTAGATGAGTAGATGTGATATATTAATGGAATATTATAATGATTTTTAGTGTATTGATTACTACCTAATATGAGATGTCGGGACAAATTCTTGGCAAAACATTACCTATTAAATTTTAGATTTGTTTTATTGTTTTTTCTTAAAAAAACGTTGCCCCACACTAATATGTTCTCCTGTGTCGTGGGTTTGTTTACAAACATACAAGTTCACATACACATTTGCTTACCAAAAGGTTTCACAGTCAGATAGTTCAGAGTCTAAAATTATAGGTATTTTGTACCTATTAACTAGATATTTAAAACATGGATTAACTCGTCGAGTACCGGTTTTGTAGACACAATTATAGAACAATAGGTTGCGGTCACCGGTGACCGCTTGGTATTTGACAGTTTAATATAGTGTTTCTTACTTTAGTGGGAACCTACAATATCTAGTTTTAGATTTTTGAGGAATGTCTAGGTATAATAAACATACAGATATTTATTGGTCATAGAAAAACACAACATTAATTTAATTAAAATCACTTTCGATAAGTATTTTGATATTTAGCATAGCTAACACCTATTTGCTATATCTAATGGTTATTTTTTGTTCCAACAATCAAATATGAAAGCGAAAGCCAGACTTAGGTACCTAAGTATTTAGGCACTAATTATATGATCGTTTTGGAACATCAATTGATTCTTTTATTTTTATTATTCTAAAACTTTTTATAGCTAAGGTCAAAAGCGTTTTAATTGTAACTAATTGGCTATTAATACATTTTATGTTTTGACTATAGGAATTGTAGCTAAAGTCCATCGAGACTAGATCCATCTATGTCAATATCCCGAAATAAATTTTGTTTTTTATTCATGTTTATTCATAACTATAAAAATATTAGATAGTTATATGCTTCCGTAAAGTACAATATCAAAATAAAACAATTTGACCATAACATAAAAATGTGTATCAATACATAGTCAAAACGAGTTTCTTAGTTGTTTGTCACATTTTTACGACGTCGCGTTTACTTCAAAACACATATAAAATGTCACACCTTTATTTTAAAGTACTTAGATATTCTATAAATTTGTGGTCCGCAGTCGAGAAAGACTGTTAATTATATAGTCCTTGATGCCGGATCATGATCGGATGTATTGGTACGTTCAATACAATAGAACACATTAAAAAGCCACCAGCGGCACAACGATTGCAATTTTTCATCTGTTTTCTACCTTGAAATTAAAAAAGACAATAAACGAATAGGAAGAAGTATCTTCCTATTAAAATTAAACCTCGACCAACCTCTTCCGGGAAAACAATGCAAGATGTTACACTATCGCCATAGAACATCACAATTAGGTACGTAACCAAAACAATTACACATATGGAACTTAAACTAGAACAATACGCCATCAATCCTTTGCACCTTGAACCTATAAAAACAATTGAACGTGGCAATTAATACCTAAGGTTATTAATTAATATCTACTTTACTTCCCTTCCCTGTAACTCTTTAGATGACGTCCTTAGATACTGGATAGACAATCGTACACAAACGCACATCAACATACCCCATTCTATAAAAACTCTTCAAATGATTTTTGACTGTAACACATAGTGTTAGAGTTACAAATGTATTGATAGTCTAGTGTAATTTGACCTGCTGTTGTCTGCACCTATTGTCTCAAAAGTTGATCCAACAATAAGAGGTAGCTAAGGTAGCTACTTCGATTTGCTCTTACTAGCATTGTTCCTGATACAGCATTGTCCGATGATATCAGATCCAATGCAATGTACAGAGAAAGTAAGAAATCACTTGAATGGTAATAAAGATTGGTATCGACAGAACAATGAGTTTTTATAAACATTGATATAGTTGATATCTGTGTTCGATTTATGTTAATTATTTGTTTCATTTCTATTAGAAAGGTGGAGTGGGGTGTTTGGGATTTTTATAATTTTTTGGTAATGGTATATACAACAAGTAGGTAATATTAACACGAACTTTTTGAAGATACAGACTTACAAATGACTCCTTAAATAGTTTTACCATACCTGCCTATATTTACTACATAAGAAATATGTACATACATCTATTCTAAATGATGTATTTATTTCCACAAAAAATAAATTCATGAGTCCCAACAAATAATCATATCTTACTATTAAGAATACATTTTAAGAATACAATTTATAATATATCATCATGTATTGTTAGTCCATTTGTCGGTCCCCGAGACGGGAGAACCAGATAAAAATGACCTCGTTTTCTAAAATCCTGATCCCCAACCAATCCTGTTATCAGTCAAACTCTTGACTTGAAGAGAAAAAGAGAGAAACTTTCGCGCAGTCATTTTTATCTGTCTTCTCCTTTCTCCGCAGACATGAATGAACTGGAGAGACAGAACAAGATCACCCAGCAGATACTGGAAGCGTTCATTCAGAAGAAGTTGGGGCTGCAGAGTACCGTGCCGAAGGCGCCGTCAATCCTCGACATACTCCCTGTGAAGATGCCCACACCGCCAGTGACACAACAGTCAGAAATGACAGAGACCATGGAAGAAGAGAACCAAGACACCGTGGACAATCAAGAGCTCACAGAAGACCAGGAGTTAAGAGAAGACGACAGCCTACAGAGTGTGGAGAGCGAACAAATCGATTCAATATACAACACTAATGCAGGTATCACGATACTCGATTAATTCAGTAGCTTTCAACGTTTTTCTGAATGAATTGCATTCATATTATGTAAGTTGCACAAACTTTGTTTAAGATATGACTGTATTTTAGCACTAGCACGTTACTATTGTATTTACTAAATGACGATAGCATCAGCTTTCTACATATAATTGTCAGCTCTACGTTTGACTTGACTGAAATTAATCAATTAATTATTCGGTATAAATCACATCAACACGAATGGATTTATCTAGATCAATCAACGACTTATCAAATCGATTCCTTTTATGGATTTAGATGATGAATTAAATTAAATGAAATGACTAGGTATTAACATTTAGACTAGCAATATAGACTGTTTGAAGTGTCATCAAGATACTTTCAATGCCATTACAATCATTTGATGATATCCCCTCTAACTCTGGGCCAACATGCGCACTTCAGTTAGGTTGGTCAAACATTAGTCAATACAACTCATAATGCGCAACGTATACACAAATATGTCAAAGACACCGCGACCCGAATCTCGGTACGTATGCTACGACAAATATTATGTCAAAGTTTGATCAAATATTTGAGATGCGAACGTGACTGTACCTATTGCAGGTGTACTGTCAACATTGGACAATTACCCTGTTCGTTTCATAAGACAAAGAAAATCACTACACCTCACTATTTGCATTTGGGTAGAAGAAAAAGAAACAATGGACGACTGGTACGATTAACGTTGTGGTCAGACGTGTAGGTTAATGTGTTAAATGCAACCACGATGAAGAAGAAAATCCAAGAAAATCTTAATGTAGAATGAACTACGTTAAAAAATATACACAAGAAATACTTGTTTATTTTACCTATATTTCATATTATGTATATAAACATAGGTGTACCTACCTACTTAAGAAATTCTAGAACAAATGTAAATCTCCACATTTTAGCTATATGTCTGTGGTTAGCGTATTCTTACTATTTCTTACGTCCTTTATACATGAAGATACCAACTTCCAAAAAGTATAATGACTAACACTACTTATATTGACCCATTGCGAATAAAGATTTTAAGTGGTACCCAAAATCAAACTTAATTACAACCAACTACAGTCCCGAGTGTCTTTGAAGTTATATTTAAGTTATTTTTGTATCGTCAGTTCAAGGTGTAATCAATTTAATAAGCGGTGGCGTTTCGTGATCCGGTGCAGGTGACCTCTGAACTAAATTCACTAAAACATCACGAGTCAATGTTGCAGTTCATTCAATTTGCAGGTCTTTAAAAGTTCTCAATTTCTGTGTTAAGGTAAACGGACAAAAGTAAAAAAAATCGTCTTTAGATTAATATCTATTTTTGACATTGTATTGATTTTCTGTCTAAAACCTAGATCAATCCACAGATTTCGTTCTAATAATTTCGACCGTTGATGGAGATAGACATGAAGACAACGTGGCAATGCTGCCAGCCTTCTGGGTACACTCCCTTATTCCACTCACGAATTTTTTGGCATTCTTTGTAAATTGTTATTTTAGTTTTTTTTTTTTTTTCTTTGTTAAGTAGTTTTTTTTGATACCTAGTGTATATTATATACTATTCATATTGTATTAAAATAAATATAATAAAGAATATAAACTACAAATCAAAAAATAACAAATAAACCTAAAAACAGATAGATATGATACTTAAGTTTATTCAAGATCAGGGTTCAAGACAAGCACAATGTAGTTGTTTTACCTGAAACAAGTTGACAGGAATGGTCATTATGGCATCATCAGTTATGCAATGAGTAGGGGCGAGCCTTTTGGCGTAAGTTGGACCATGTAAGTGTCCATTTTGTTATATCGTATGTATTGGTACTGAGAACTTTGAAATTCCAATTATCTTACTTGGAAAATATGCGTTTTTTGACATTAACATTTTACCGTTTAGCTTATGATTAAAATGTTAAGTACGTAATAGTCTAGATTATTAGTTATTTAGGTACCTATTTTTTAATGTTTATTATAGTACCGACAAAAACAAGGACTAGTTCAGTCAAAATAAAAAGTATTGACCTTACCTCGACCGTCTACATTATTATTGAAATAAAAACTTTCGATTGTAATCGAATGACATCCGCATTTTATTTTCTAAAAAGGACTCTAATATACATTTAGCTATTTATGTCCAAAAACGTATAAAATGAAATAGAGATGATATTCCAATTGACTTTATTGCTATGGAGATTTTGAAAAAAATGTAAAGTTCATGGTCATAGGTCGTCAACTGACCTTTATCGAAGAAATATGTAGAAAAAGAACTCGGATTTATATAATATCTTATATCTAAGTGTTGTTTTGCCATTATTTATTTTATTTTACTCCACCGATATATTAAAACCTGTTAACGATCTTAAAATACGTTTCATATCCTTGTTAAACTCAATAAAAACAAATTAACGAAGCAACTATTTTTAGTTACATATAGGTAGATTATTTATCAAATACATATAACATCATGTCTTTTATCCCCGAAGGGAGATAGGCAGAGGTGCACATTACGGCACTTAATGCCACTGTACAATGTAGCACCCACTTTTCACTATTTATGTTATGAGTCTCATGTAATAGGGGGTGAGCCTATTGCCATTATACCGGGCACAATTCCAGACCCTGTGCTACTACTGAGAATTTTTAAATAAAGCCCAGTAATATTTTGTCCGATCCGGAAATCGAGACCCTTTGCCCGGCAGTCGCACTTGCAATCAATCGGTCAATGAGGCAGTCTCAGATAAAGTTAATTAAAATCAATGTAATTAATTAATGGGCAAAAATGTGGACATCGAGTTTCTGTTACAGGATCGATAAAAGAGAGTCTAAAATCCATTAAATAATTCCATTTTAGTTTTTTCAGTCCTTTTCAGACGTCATTTCAAGAAACTTCCCATCAGTTTTTATAATAAGACCTACGTATATACCTACGTTGTAGTTAAGTTGCCAATGGTTTACACCAATAAAAAATAGCAAATAAAGATGAAAAAGAAGTTTAAACTATGTGCACACTGTTAAGGAAAGTTAAATTCGATAAGTACTGATTTTAGATAATTTGATACAGCACCGTAATCGTTATAGTTAAAATCGTACGATGCTCAGAATGGAACGCTCTAGTCAATCCTGAATCAAATCTTCCCTGCAGTAAGTTCAACTCCAAACCTAGTCATGTTCTTCACCTCAGCGGCTCTCCTTGGAGAGTTCAGCATATGAGCTAAAGGACCGGTTCAGCACCCTGCAATCTGATCACAAAACGAACATGCAAAACATCATTAATCGACCACTAAAGCCATAAACCAAAAATAGCCACAATCAGGAATGCTCCTTTTTATGTCTAGCCGTAAAAGAAAATATGATACTAAATAATTAGGTGATTACTATGAAAATGAGAGTGGTAGCATTCGACATTTCGCCAATCACCTTGAGAGGTCGTTGATACTAGGATAATGACTATTTGACATATTAAATTAAAATATGCGAACCAAAAAAATAAGGATGATACCAACACGTGTACAGTAAAAAAATTAAGGAAAAAAGTAATGAATTATTCAAATAAATACTTAATCTAATGAGAAAAAGTTGTCTATACCTACTTTAATAAAAAACAAAACAATACTTTAATGCTGACATTTGATTATTGAATAGTTGACATTTAATCGATTTATCTATCTCGTAATTTCCAAAAAACGCGTGAGAAAATTAAAACATCATAATTATTAATGAACCCATCAAACAGGAGTCGTAATATTATTTTTTATGTGACTAATTCGTTTTTATTTAATTCTATTAATAATTACTTATTAGCATATCCGATTTTTCATAGAATACGATAATATATTAACAAGTAGCAACACTAACTGTACACGGCCATAGCTTACCTACTTATGTTTTTAATTAAAGCCTCCCATTCCACATTTACACCATTTAAATAATTCGATTGCATCGGTAAATAAATTGCAGAAAATGTTAATTTATATCTCTCCAGACTGAAACTTTATTTTCATCATGACTGCGCAGCGTCCGCAGAAAACGCAATCATGCGATAATATCAACTCAATTTGCAGGCAGCTAACGGCTGTAAACTGATGGGCTACTTTATAAATATTCACTTTTAAATACATATTTTAACATAATATTTTTCAGGGTAGTTTTTATTTGGCTATAGTTTAAAGATACGGTCAAAGGTTGTGCAAATCTTATCTTATCTTATATACTACTAGCTTTTGCCTGCGACTTCGTCCGCGTGGAATAGTGACTTCCGGCAGAAAAGTATAGATAGCTGTGCCCGCGACTCCGTCAGCGTGTAACTCCTTGTGTTATTAAGTTAATGAATGGAGTAACTTCTCCCGTTTTCCCAATATTACCCTTCACTGCTCTGCTCCTATTGATCGTAGCATAATGAAAAGTATACTATAACCTGCCCAAGAGTATATAGAATAATTGTGCCAAATTTCGTTAAAATCCGTCGAGTAGTTTTTGTTTCCATAACGAACATACAGACAGACAGACAGACAGACAAAAATTTTACTGATTGCATTTTTGGCATCAGTAGCGATCCCTAACCACCCCTTGATAGTTATTTTTTAAATATATTTTATGTACAGAATTGTCCTCTCTACAGATTTATTATAAGTATAGATTATATAAAGCGGAAGAGTTTATTTTTTTGTTTGTTTGTTTGAACGCGCTAATCTCCGTAACTACAAGTCTGATTTGAATAATTACTTTTGTGTTGGATAGCGCATTTATCGAGGATGGCTATAGGCTATAAAACAATATGCTACGACCAATAAGAGCTGAGCAGATCGTGTGAAACCGCGCGAGAGATAGCTAGTAAATTTATGAAAAGTGAATCGTTTGTGATAAGATCGTATATAAATTATTGTGAACAGGAGAATGAAAAATAAAGACATATCAAACCCGAGTAGTTTAGGATTCGGGATATGAGCAGAAAGAAGAACAGTTTGTTGCAGCCTTAAGGCTACTTC